CTATCTACCAATGTAAATAAGGATATGCCTCAGCTTGGATGGTTATCACACTCTGCAGTGAATGGACAGAGGAATCTCTGTCCTAAAGTTAGAAGAGGACTGCAAATTCTTGAAAGAAACTGTTCATTCAAAAGCACAGGGGAGGGCTGCGGAGTTAGTTCAGTGGCATAAGTGCCTACCTGGCATGCATGAGAGGTCATGAGTTTGATCCTCCAAAAAAAAAAAAAAAAAGGAATTTTTAGAAACTTAATCTTTTTAACTTTAAAATGTTTATTATTTCTTTTATTTATTTATTTATTTATTTATTTATATATTTTCAGGAGGACGCTTGGTGTTTTTTTCCTTTTAACTTTTTCTTTCTTACCTTTCATTTCTCCTGTATTTTGCTCTGACTTTCCTTTCTCTTATTTGTTCTTTTCTGATTATTTTCTTTTTTTTTTTTTTTTTTTAATTTTTATTTAAGGAGAAAAGAAAAGAAAGAAAAAAAAAACAGTGAAGGGGTACAAGTTATACAGATTTACAGAATAAAAAAATGCGCAGTAGGAAATCACTAGTTAATGGATTACATATTGCCATCTTAGAAATAATTGTTCAAGTCACAAAATTAAAGCTTGTAGAGTGGACATTCCACCAATGATACTGCAAACAGTTCTGTTCAATGATCCAATAAAACTCTGTGATATCATTTTCTATCTTATACTTTTAAATATACATGCAGTTATATAGTTTAGAGCACTTTCTTTTCCTCTCTTTTGTACAGTGACTATTACACATTTTGGGTTTCATTGCTCCCACGGTTCTTGTTGCTTTTTTGGAAGAGAGTAAAACCAAATGTGACATAACAGAACAGAATCGTTCTAATACTATTAATTTTCTTTTATTCCACAACAGGATCCCCTATCTCAGTTTTCTTTCCTCCTTCTCATCCTCCATTGATTACATTACACTGATTTTTAAAATTTTACATTTTGCATTCTTTAGCTCCCCATCCCCTCTACTTTTACTGGTATAACTATTACATTTATAAATCTTTAGATAACTAGTTAACTCTATGCTATTACTGTTAAATTCTATTCTATTGTTAGATGAGGTTAAAGTCATTCCATTTAGTAGATATTTACTGTAGGTCAATATTTGGTTTATCTTAGTGTTTGTACTATGATTAAGGATTTCTTTTCTATGGTTACAGATGGTACATTGTTGCTTCATATAGTATATTAATATCCAGTTTGACTTTGATGCTAGTACTGTTGCCAATTTTAATATTATAGCCAAGATGACATAGTTGTTGCTATTAATTGGTTTTCTCTGTGTGTCAGTATCTAGACTGTCTTTGTGTCATTAACGATACTGTGGCACATTCCCAGAGAACTGGGTACTGGGCCAAGTACACTGCAGCTTCTCCTCCAGAATCAGCAAAGGTGGCTGGATTCTGGAACAGAGGCAAAGGCCAATAATCATACCTAAAGAACATTGCTGAAAAGCAGACATTAACAAAAGAGGTCTACATGCTATCAACAAAGCTTTTCACTATAATCAACTTGCAAGCCTCAGCACAAATAACAAACAACAAACAGAAACTTGAGAAGACAGAGCAAGAAAATCCCTCCAAAACTCCTTTCTCAGAGTTGTTCCATGAAGAATCAAAAGGGAAAAAAATCAAAAGCCCAAAAGTCACATAGCCTAATTTTTCAAAAGGATAACAGAGGAAGTAACAAAAATAGATCAATAAGGAGCTTGATGAACTCAAAAAGACATAACTGAACGGGTAATATGATAAAATGAGTCTATAGAAGACACTACTAAAAAGCGAGCTGAGCTAAATGAAATGACCCAAAACATGAATGGTTAGCACAGAAAAAAATTAGAGGCCATAAAAGGATATCAAACAGAAATTCAGGAAATTGAAATTTTTATTGAAAGTATGGGCACCAAAAGAAGCTAGTGTGAGGACAGAGCATTAGAATTAGAAGACAGGGCTGTTGTTGATGAGCAGTGAATGAGAGAGAACATGAAAAATCTTTAAAATAAGAGAACATGAAAAATGAATGCAACATCTGCTTTATGATGCAAGGAGAACTAACCCAAGATTAACTGGAATTAGTGAAAAATCAGTTACCTTTTTTTGGTTAAAAAAAAAAAAGGACACACACAAAAAACATATTTACTGAAATAGAAAACTTTTCAAATATGGGAAAAGAAATTAACATGTACATAAGTGAGACATGTAGAATCTCAAATAATCATGGTGGGAAAAGAACCTCTCCATAACATATCATAGTAAAATCCAATTCTTAAAAGCTGCATTCAACTTCATAAAATAAATACTTCTGGGCATAAAAGATCAAATAAACATAAACACAATTATAGTGGTGAGCCCCTAATGCCCTACAGTCACAAATAAAAATCAAGAAAGACCTATCAGATTGAACCAAACCATGAAGCAAATGGATTTAATAGATATCTACAAGCATTCTACCCAACAGCATCCTTCTCAGCAGCACATGTAACTTTTCTTAAAAAAAGACAACATAGCCAAGGAAGCATGCATAAGTAAATGCAAAAGAACTGAAATTATACCATGCATATTATCAGGTCATAATGCAAAGAAACTAAACTAAAAATCAATGGCAAAAGAAAACACAGAAATAATGCAAACACATTGTAATTAAATAATAAACTCTGGGATAATGAATAAGAGAGGAAATCAAGAAAGAAATAAGGCATTTCTTAAAACTAAACAATAATGCCACTACAACATATCAGAACTCATGAGACACAATAACAGCAGTTCTAAGAGGGAAGTTTACAACTGTGAATGCCCATTTCATGAAAACAGAGTAAGCCCCAATAAATAACCTAACAGTACACCTCAAGTTCCTAGAAAAACAAGAATAATCCAAACTCAAACGTAATACAAGGAAAGAAATCATAAAAATCCGTGAGACAGAGACCAAACAAACAAACAAAAAACCCCCAAAGAATCCATGTATGAAAAAGCTAATTATTCAAAATAATAGATAAACCCTTAAACAATCTTAACTAAGAAAAAATGAAGACCCAAATTGATGCTATTAGGAATTAGAGGGCTGGGGATTTAGCTCAGTGGCATAAGCGCCTGCCTTGCAAGCAGGCAGTCGTGAGTTCGATCCCTGGTACCGATAAAAATGAAAAAGACAAAAAAAAAAGGAATTAGAAAGGTGAATTCACAATGAACTCTGCCAAAATCTAGAAGATTATTAGCAACTACTTTGGAAAACTATATACGAATAAATTGGAGAATTCAAAAGAAATTGATAAATTCCTAGATGCATATGAATGCAAAGCTAAACCAAGAAGATACAAAAACTTCAAATAATCTAATAACATGCAATGAAATTAAAGCAGTAATAAATAACCTGCTAACTGAGAAAGGCCCAGCTCCACATGGATTTACTGACATATTTTACAAGAACTTCAGGGAAAATCTAATACCAATGTGCCTCAAACTCTTTAATAAAACTGAAAGGGAAAGAATACTCCCACAGCTATTTCTGAAAGTTAGTATTACCCTGATGCCAAAACCAGAAAAGGATTCAACCAAAAGATAGAACAATAGGCCAGTTTCCATAATGAATATAGATGCAAAAATCCTCAACAAGATACTAGCAAACAGAATGCAATAAATCATCAGAAAGATTATATACTATGAATAAGTAGAGTTTTATTGCAGGGAATCAAGGATGGTTCAACATCCACAAATCAATAATGTAATATATCATAAAAGCAGAAGTAAGTATAAAAATCACATGGTTATCACAACAGATACAAAAAAAGACCTTTGACAAAATTCAATAATTATTCATGATTAAAACACTGTATAGGTACAGAAAGACCTATCTCAATCTGATAAAAGCCATTTAGACAAACACATAGCCAACATCCCAGTAAAGGGTTAAAAAAATGAAAGCTTTCCCTTTAAAATCAAGAACAAGACAAGGATTTCCACTATCACCATTACCATTCAAAACATTAGCTAGAGCAAACTGGCAAGAGAGAGAAAAATAAGGGATATGTAGAGCAAAGGTAAAAGTCCAATTGTCATTATTTGTGCATGATATGGTACTCTATAGAAAAGACCCAAAAATTCTACCAAAAGACTACAGAATTAGTAACCAAATCCAACAACATAGCAGGATACAAAATCAACACACAAAAATTAACATTCTTGACATCAATAATGAATTCACCAAAAAAGAAATTAGGATGAAAATATCATTCACAGCACTAAGAAAAATTAAATATTTAGGTACTAGCCCAAAGAAGTGAAAGACCTCTACAATAAAACTATAGTACTGCTTATGGATAAATACTACCAATATAATCAAAATGGGCATACATCCAAAGCCAGTATACAGAGTTAACACAATCCCAATCAAAATATCAACAGCATTCTTTTTTAAAATAAAGAATAAAACAAAACAAAACAATGAGAACAATACTGGATTTCAAAAACAACACAGTAAGAAATCAGCCACAGTCATTATAATGCACACTGTTATCCTCTAACTAGATGCTCAGACAAGACACAGGCATTCAAAGTCAATCAAACAACACAATCACTAAATTGTTTCTTTACTTCTGTTTCCATCATCTCAGAAATTTCAGGTGTGTCTCTTCTAATTTCTGTTGTATCTATGTCTCCTGGACTTGTTCTGGGTGGGCTGGAGGTCTAATATTGCATGCTACTTCTTCATCATGACATTTTCCCAGGCTCCTCCAAATCAATGAGTCGATGAGTCCCAGCTGTTTCCTATCCTGGCTGCCCATCCTGAGGTGCAGGGGACTGGGACAGGCACTTGGGTTCCCCCAATCCAAGGTTCCCAGGGTGGCTGCTCATTGATCCCCCCCCCCCATGGTTGTGGAACCCTGTGGGTGTGGCTTCTTCTCTCAGGAATCATAGCCTCACAGTGGAGTGTGTGTCTCTACCCCACCAGTGGTGGTGGGCTCAGCGGGGGGTGAGTTGTTTCTTTCTAATGAATTGGCCTTTGCATTTTTAAAGTTCTGAAATAGCCAATAAATCACAGAAAGATACTGATTTAGGTTTCTGTTTGAAACCAACAGCTTCAGAAAACTGTCAGCCTTGGTTCAGGTCCAATTAATAGCAGTCTTTACAGAAATGGAGAAAACTACCCTAAAGTTCATATAGAAACAGAAAGGAAAGTTCATATAGAAACAGACTGGATCTACAACTATAAAAACAAAGTGGGAGGCATCACAATCCCAAATTTTAAATTATACTACAAAACTACAGTGGTAAAAACAGCATGGAATGGATAAAAAAAGAAGACGTGGATTTATGGAACTGACTAAAGGATGCAGAAACAATCCCAAGCACATCAATTATTTGATCTTTGCGAAGGGGCCAAAAACACACACTGGAAGAACTGACTATCCACATGCAGAAGATTAAATCTAGACTCATATCTCTCACCATGTACTAAACTGAAATAAAACTGTTTCAAAGATCTAAATATTAAAACAGAAACAACCCGCCGGTAGTTAAAATAGGAAAAACTCTTGAAGTGTAGACAAGGACTTTTTAATACAACCCCATTTGCACAGGATTCAACAAATTGAAATGTATCAAATTTAAAAGATTTTGTAGAGCAAAAAAAAAAAAAAACTAACAGTTAAGAGACAATCTACAGAATAGAAAAAAAATTTTTTGCCAGTATTACAGAGGACTAATACCTAAAATATATTTAAAAAAAACTTTAAAAAGGCCCCCAAATAAAAGACCCAATGGGCAAGTGGTGTGAAAAGACACTTCTCAGAAGTGCAATTGGTCAATAAATCCATGAAAAAATGTTCAGCATTGCTGGCCATTAGAGAAATGCAAATTCAAACAACACTGAGATTTCATCTTACCTGAGAAATGTAGGGAGCCGAGTGACAGGCATTGCTGCCTAGATGTCTCTCTCTCTCTCTCCTATGGGCACTGCGTCTGCCTACATTAACCATAATCCCCTTCTGCTTACGTCACTTATCCGGATGTGATGGTAACCCTGTTGTATTCATCTGTTTAACCTCTTCCTGTCCCAGCTCCCGCCCTTAGCCTATAAAAGGTGTGATTATTTTCTCAATAAACCGGAGGCTTGATTGGGTTAACATCAACTTGCCTTCGTCTCTTTTTGTCTCCCCCATGTCTTTTATTTAATCCCTGTTTCCCCTCCAGGAGTTCTGAACTTGTTGATCTGCAGGCCGGATCAGAGAAAGAAGGGCTATTGTCAAGAAATCAAATAATAACAAATACTAGTGAGGCTGTGGTGAAAAAGGAACCCTTCTACATTGTCAGTAGAAATGTCAACTAGTATAACCATTATGGAAACTGAATAAGCAAAAAATAGAAATTCCATTCAGCCCAGCTAGTCTTTTCCTAGGTATCTTTCTAAAAGAGTTTAAGATATATTATAGTGATATATGCACACCCGTATTTACAGCAGCACAATTCATAATAACTAAATCTTGGAAGCCATTTGTATGTCCATCAACAGATGAGCAGATAAATTAAATGTGGTAGTTACTTGGCCATAAAGAAGGATAAATGTGAGTTACTTGCAGGACAATGAGACCATAATGTTAGGTGAAATGCATCATACACACAAATTTAAATATCATGTGGATTCTCTTTTATGAGAAACCCAAAATATAAATAAAGAGCAAAACAAAAAGCAGATATCAGAAGTAAGGAGATAGATCTTTCTCAAATGGGAAGGGGATCAAGAGAGTGATGCAGGGAGTGGAATGGAAGAAAAAGAATGAAGATGTGTTATGTACATGTACCAAGTCCTCGGAATGTAATCATTATGTACTGCAAATATGTTCTATAAATAAATAAACAAACGGAAGCTCCAAACACTATACCAGCCTCTACCGGCACCCTCCAAGTGCACCTATAGCATCTTGGCCTACAGTCATGGTAAGTCATGACCCCAGTCTCACTGGCTATTCCAAAGGTGTGTCCTTAAGATTGACTTTGTGTATTGACATTATGCTATTTTAATGTACTCTTTCAAGCACCCCTCACATAAAGAGTTGGCTTTTCATACAGGTCTGCCTCTAAGGTAAAAATACCAATAGGAATATTCTAGATACTAAGCTTTGTTACCTTCGGGATATGAACTACCTTACTGTTATCTACATCAGACTGTGTTTTTACATTATTTATACCCAGTCACTACACTTACATCTATAAAATAGAGGCCAAATCTCAGATTCTAAGCCCTGTAATGAATTTTAATGGCAAAATGTTCACAAAAAAACTCATTTGTTTCCTCCTGGATTTTGATTCTTCCTGATTTTGCCAGAGTAGCCTGGAGCTTCTCTGTGGGGCCCAAGTTCAGAGACAGGAAAGTTGGTGCCATGAGCCTACACACAGTGTGTCCTGGTTACTTTTCTCATTACTGGGGCAAAATACCTGACATCCAAAATGAAGGAAGGAAAGATGTTATTTATTTCACTGTTTGTGGAGGTTTCAGTCCATAATTAGTTGGCTCCATGGCAGGGTGGCATGGCACTGTGGCAATACTTCAAGAAAGCAGCCAGAAAACGCAGCCAGAGCAAGAGTGGAGAGACAGTGTACAGAAGTGACCAATAGCAGTGCTGTTACCATTTTGTCATCATTTCCGAAGAGGATAAGTCCTGCTTTGGTGACCACACCTGGCCGTCGAGCACCTGGGATGAGCAGATCTTCTCCTTCTGGCACCAGGCCTGAAGTGTTCAGTGTCGAGTTGAAAAATGTTAGCTTCTAACAAGAGAAAGAAAAACACGAGATGGTGGATAAGAAAGGCCCCTGCTGCCAGCTGCTCAGACAGGGCTATGCAGAGCTAAGAAGATGAAGAGGGTGCTGGGGGTACCTGTGATCTGAGAGCCATGCAAAACTGAGTGGTCCTTAATACCTTGCTCCTCTTTAGGGCACAAACAAAGTACAAACAAGACCTGAAGGAGGTGAGATGGCCTTTGGGAAGGCATGATAGCAGGACTACTTCTGTATTTACTCTTAAGACCCATGGCAATGGGCATAGCCTCAGACTCCAGGTGTACTGACACCAGAGGAAAACACACTCCAAACACATATTTGGAATGAGGTCATTGGCTATAGGGATGCCACCAAGTGCTGGTCACTGGGGTCAGGAGATGCATTCTCCAATACAGAGCATTCTGCATTGTTGAGGGAAGCACACAGACTTCTGGCACAGTCTGAGCACACAGCTAGGAATCAGGAGTTTGGACAACCTTGGGTTGTCTGGAAGATGGGCTGCCCTTGAAGTTTCGGCAAGGACCTCACACATGGTCCTGTCACTCCTTGATCCATCTATAGAGCCCAGGACCCCAAGGGTCCCCATCTTCATCATGCAGCCTGCCACTACTCAGTCTCTGGTCCTGAGTATGCTTCCCCTGCCCTGGCTGGGGACAAGCCCAAGTCAGAGCTGGGCCTGGGATCTGTGCAAGCCTCTGGCGAGGACTCAATATACCATACGCCCAATATACCTGGATTGCAGTGATGCAGCAAGTACCTGGAGGCCTCCAGTGATGCAAGAAACCTACCCTTTAGCTGTTAATCTGTGGACAGGTCTTAGTCCTTGGGAGGAGCTGAGGGGCTAGGGGTATTTAGATGGAGATGGGATATGGACAATAGCTAAGACTTCAAACATATTTGACAGTTGTATAGCCAGTGGGACACACCACCAGTTCAGTCTAACTGAATTCCGGCAGTGTGTGAACTCACCTGTCCACACGCCTCTGTCCAAGCACCCGGCACCTTGTCATTCCCACGGATCCAGTTGTGAATGGCCTCAGCTGGCTGGTCCCAGTTGATCTGTGGGGAGCAGGATATGTGTGTTCAGCTGGTTTCTCCACAGGCTGCCACCCCTATCACCTCTGGAGAATGGACTGCACATCTGTAAGCAGACCTGGCCTTTTCCCTGGACAGCAGTCTGAATCGCTGAGCTAGTGCCCCTGGTTCTGGATGTTCTCTGATCCTCAGTCTCTCACAGGCTGAGCAGACTACAAAATGGCTTTGGGAGAAGACTGTTGTGTTATTGTCAGATAGCCAATGTTCTACACAGAGTCCCAAGCACAGTGTGCTCCAGACCATCCAATAGGGTTCAACCTCTAGTTTCTCCTCATGTATGAGGTCCACATAAACCTCCATATAGTACCCCACAATCCTGAAGTAGAGAGGCAGCCATCAGACCTCCCTTCAAGGTTCCCTTTCTGACTCTTGTTCAAAGTAACAAACGGTCTCCCAAGTCTCATCCAAGTCTCTTGAACACGATAGCCTTAAGGCTGATATTTCATTCTGGCCCAGGTTCTTCTCCTTGGGAGCTTTATCTGACCTAAAGAGAAATGCTGAACAACCCAGAAGGACCCCTGTTACTTGTACTTTATGTTCTAACATGCCTCCTCCTTCCCCTACTCTGCTCCTGCAACCTCAACTGGACTGCTGTCTCTTGTGGCCTTAAGCACTTACAACCTTTCTGGCTCAGGATGAACCCTGGCTCAGTTTCACTAGGCTGCCTCTGGGCCCTCAGCTCAGGCACACACGGATTTGAGGTGTGTTATGGTTTGTATCTAGGTGGCCCCCAAGCCTCATGCAGTCATGGAGGTGGCTGAATCTACCAATTGTGATTGGTTCGTTGTCCAGCATTGGGATTGGTGGTGTGAGTGTTGCACCTGGGGTGGAGCCAGCGTACAATGTAAGAGAGGGAAGAAGGCATGTTTTTTCATCTTTTACCCTTTTTGCTTTTGCTGTTTGTGGCTGCCATGAATGGTTGCCCCTCACCCTGCCTTGGAACCAGCTGAATATGGACTGAAACCTCAAAAACTGTAAGATAAATAAACCTCTCCTTGCTTCATTTTGAGCACCAGCTATTTTGTCTCAACAAGAGAAAAAACAGGGTGGGTGGGGGCCCTGACACTCACCTTGGCTGTTTCTTTCTTCTGAATTCCCTCATAGGTGGCTCCTTCCTCAGGCTGACGGAGTCTGGGGGCTTTGCCCTCTGCGATGAGCCTCACAGCCTCCACCTGTGGATACTCTACTGGTTAGCACCCCTAGCAGGGTACCCCCCTTCCCTCCAAACCCTGCCTGGGACA